TCCAGAATTATTTAAAAGTTAAAAAAAAAAATCCAACTTGTTCTGTTTAAGGGCTTAAATAGATATAGACTAGAAGAGATTTAAGGCTTTTGGGTAAAAAGAGTTTGAGCTTAAAGTATCAACAATATAAAATTTATCTCAATTAACAGCATACTTTCATACTAGAAGAGCAGAACCTGAGAACTACATGGAAAGAAATCCAATTAAGGCCTGTATCTCATTTTAATACACTACTGACTAAATCAGAAAAGATATACTAAAGATGGTGTATTAAATTAGTTTAGCTCTACATACCATATTTTAACATTTCCTACCATTTACTGATAGTGCAGGAACAGAGTAGTTCCATGAAATTACTTAAATATCTCCAGCTTCGGCAGCTGAATCTCTAGAATTACAGCTCATGTTCAGTAGGCAGAGGCAAATTCTCCTGAACACACATTTAAAAACAAATAAATAAGTCAACTGAGGCCCTTACAAATTATAAACTAGCCCTCAGTCTGCCATACAACTGGCCAGTAACCAATGTCTGTGTTCAACAGCTTAAACCAAGATTTAAAAAAAAAACACAATATGCTTTCAAAGTTCTCTTCCCTGAACTACAAGACTTCTCCATTTCAATTCCTGATTTGGTCTCTTGTCCAGTTAGGGTCATGTAGCAGTTCTTAATCCCAGAAGATTTATTCCAAAGGAACCATGGACATTATGTTGAACCAAGACACGTTGATGAATAATTCTCTTTTTCACCTTGTGACAAAAAGGAACTACCAATGAATTACCATTATGTGATGGTAATCACTGCGACTTTAAGGACCAAATTTCCAGGGATCAGACTGCTCTAAGCCTCAAGTCCTTAATACGTGGCATGGAGTAAAAGCGCGTTTCTTCCATCATCGAGAAGAACTAGACTAAGCAAATAATCTCAGCTTCCAAGCATGAAAACCAGTACAGAATTCCCTAGGTTAAAAATAACACATTGTCTGCTGAGAGATTGTGATTTTGTTTAAATTTCCCTCTGCAGCTTTTGCATTAAGACACAGAATAGCTGAATATCTAAACGCACTGCAGTGTTACTCAAAAAGCAACAGATTCAGCTTTACAAGTCTTTCACATACCAGTAAAACCACAGCAATGCAGAGCTAACAAGGGGCTAACTCGCTCTGCCATAGTGATGCACCCTGGAACGACCAAGGTTTTGGACAATGCTTACCACAACTACTTAGCAGCAAACAGTAGGAAAGAGTACATCTGGACACAATATTACACTGTGATATTCTGCTCAGCTTGAGGGTATAAGCAAGCTTTATGACGAGACCATAAAGCAATTTTTATACTGAATTTATGAGATCATTATAATAGTCATTTGCAGAAGCCAGTGACTGGTTTATTAGAAGACAGCCTGTAGAAAAATTGAAAAGGTAGATCGCAGAGAAGTTCAACTGCAATACTGGCGATATTCGAGACTGAGGCACAAAAATCGTAAGGCAAACAAGTGGGGAGGGAAGGTTTAAGAATTAAGACTTACAAATATACAAACAAGGACATTTCACGATCAGCAACAAGAGAAGCAGTGATTTACATTCATTTTCATTTGCAAAAATCCACCTTTATTTGAAGACTAGCTTATGCACAGCATACAGAATTGAAAAATCACTAGTACTCCTGAATATTCACAACAGACACCTATTGCTAAATCATGAATAAATGGCAGCAGAGTATTTTCACCACACATACAAATTGTTTAAGATCAATCTTGTTTCTTAACTTAAAAACTCCCTCTTGCTTCTCACATTAGTCCTTGTAAAACCACTTTAATTGACGAGACTATTACAAGATAAACCTTAAAACATAATCGAGCAGTCATCCCAAACGGCACTGTGCAGGACACAGGCAACAGCCCACAAGCACTGAATTGTTCTGCAGCAATAGAGAGAAAGTGAACTGTCTTTTAAGGAGGTTCTAGGGAACTCAGAAACATTCATAAATATCAAATATTTTGAGAGTCAGGTTCAAAGAGATCCTTGGATCATCTCTCTTGTATATATCCCAGATTGCTACATTTTAGACAATGATCACCTTACTGAGCAAAAGCCTTTGTATTTGACAACAAACATACATATTCACGTTCTCTGAAAGATACTCAGTCTAAAACTAAGCAAGTCAGAACCAAAAATACAGCTAATTCCTCAGAACCCAGCCAAGAAAACTGGACCCGAACACATTCTAATTATATCTTAAATGCTTAATCAACTCAATTATTTACAATAACTGCGAGATATTTTATTTGGAACTTGTCTAGCTTTTATTTTAAGCTACCGGTGGTTCTTGTGTTTCTTCCTACCAAAGAGCACTGTCAAAGTAGAGAGAAGTAGTAAATAGAAATAAACAGACAATGTTAAACAGAAGAAGTAGAGGGTGGGGGGAAAAGCTGGATATAATACCTTATCGCAGAACAGCTAGCAGCCAGATATAATGTAGTCATCTAAACAGCCAAATGCAATCTCTTCACTTACGACAGGTTAATTTCTTCTGGTCATTTGCCCAGTACCAACTGTGTACGTCCATATACCTAGAGACTTAATTATGCGGATAGTCTGGCAAATCGAAAAATACTTCTGAGATATTCTAAAGAGCTCTGAGCTTCATGAGTACTTCTAATCCAGGAAGATCAAATTATTTGTTTATAGTAGTTTAACCGGGACAAACTGGGATAAGATTATTATTTATGAGTGTATTAACATGGTAAATAGAAATGGAAGTCATAGAAATGGACATTCGTTAAAATGGAATGAGCCATGACAATAAACGACCTTACAGATGGTGATACCTTACTGTGGTTTTCTCTCTCCTCATCTACAATAGACCAATTTTATAAATATTAGAAAAAGATAAGTAGTATTTTTCTTACCACAGATGTTGTCTGCAAATACACAATCAGAATGATAATAATTTAAGGAATTAGAAATATAATTTCATAGCCATCAGGATAAAGCTCTGGAGGAAGTCTATTTTAACACCCTGATTTTTATTCATACACCCCTCCCTATAAATCACCTCTCCTGAACATTACAAAAAGTGCAAGGTTAGTTTGTAGCTGATTGTAGAACAGATATTAACACAGTAAATTGCTAATTTCAGGCATGCTATGGGAATGCACAGCAGTCATACAAATCAGACTCACAGATAAATTTACTGAGCAAGGAACCCCTTGCTGCTCTTGGCATCTGTATTCTCTATTGACCGTAGTTTTGATCACCTGCAAGGTCCTTCCATCACAAAATACCAATTAACTAAATCAAAATTAATTCCATAAACCTAACAACAGACTCAAACACGTGCATTCGCACCAGACTGTTTCACTATACACTGTTAAAAACCAAGTTCTTGCTTTACAGGTCTCCAACATCCTTATAATATCATCACACAGGTCACTCTGAACCTGCAACTTCTTGGTTGCCAGGACAACTGACTGACAAGCAAAAAGTGCACCAAAAGGGGTTTTTTTCATGTATTTGGTGCAAAGAAATTCTGCATTTCTGGATTTTTACTCCAATTTCGAAATAACATTTCTCCATGCTTCCATAAGTCAGAGGTGTCTATACGTCAGACATTCTACACAAAGTTCTAAACTTAAAAATTAATGCTGGACATTTTACCCACGTAAATATTGAATTGTTTCCTCAGTAATGCCCATTTATATTTATGACCAACTGGGAAATACCTTGCTATGTCATAAAATACAAAGAAAGGCTTCATCAATTTTTTTATCATCTTTCCTAAGTTGTCATCATCCTTTTTGTACTGCAGAATCAAATGATGATGAATTAGCAGTGCTAATGGTCCAAAAGAAACATACTTAAAAATTAATAGCTTCACCTGTTTATTGATCAAATAGAATTGTAAATAATCTCACTTGGAAGAGAGCAAACTCACACGCAAAGCGAGTTACTGAGAAAAGCAAAGTTTAAGGTTGTTTCTCAGCCAAAGACACGCTAAACCAAATATTGCATTGTACAACACTCGACCTAAATTCGGAATGAATGAATTAATGCAGAACACAGATCCATGTATGCAACGTAATCAAATGCTACAAGGCATGCGAAACGTTCCCCACACCTATGGGAGAGACCAATGAACTGCTACATTACATTTTTTTATAATCTTTGTTATTTTAATCTTAAATTCTATCTTATGCAAATCCGGCCAGTATGAAGCTTTTCTTATTTCACTGCTCAAAACAAGAAGTTTACATCTTCAACAGGTAAGACCTTCAACAGAAAAACAAACAGTAGCTCACTCCAGGGAAGCCCAGAGCAGCTTCTACCTACACAATTGCTTTTTCATTCTGCTACTTTTATTTACTCTTCTTTTGGCTCTCTCAACTATTCTGTTTTATTATTTCTACAAACACTTCCAAAAGGTGTACTACTGAAAGTGTGAAGATAAGACTTTGATCCCAAAATGTTTAGAAAGTACAAATCTTTCCGTACAGTTTCATATAAGAAAATCAAGAATTCATACAGAAGCACCTTCCTACAAAGTATATAGCACAAGAAAGCAACGTGAGGTGAAGAACTGACAGTTCCTTGAGTATGTACACTGTACCCATAACCAACAATTTCTACTACGAGTATGATCTTATTTCACCTTTTTGTTTGTTTGTTTGTTCTAATACAACAATCCAAAACAGAACATCAAGCTGTTCTAAGAAAACACCCAAAGGGAGAGAAAGAAAACTTTATTTTTTAATCACACAACAAACCATTGTTTTCATACAATGAAAACCACACCTTTTTATTTATTTTGATGTCACTTGCTTACCTTCATATGACTGAAGTCACCAACCTTGCTGCTTTCTTGTGGATTAATAGGTTTCGTCTCTACTCTTGGTTTGACAACCTGCCGAAAAGGACTGGAGAGCGGAAGTCCACTAACACTGATTCCATCTAGAAACACAATAAATGAAATTACTTTTGCTCGTCTAATATTATGTTTTATTCCAACGAATCTACATCTGTATTATCAAAGAGAGAGAAAATACACAAAACCAAATATTAACATTTTATACAAAAAGGCTAAACAAAAGTTAAAGATTATTTTGCTCTCTTTTTCTCCAGAAGCCAAAAAACTCCAAGCAGGAATACACCTAAAGCTCAGTGAAGGTCATAGGAAAGGAAGGTAACTGCATTGAAATACCTCAACAGAGATGTCAGGGTTAATAACATAAATTAGTTTATGATATTTATGGTATTAGAAAAGATAAAAGATAAAAGTTTGTGCTTTTCCATTATAGTGATGTTATCAACTGCTTAGTATCTTTAAACCAACTTCCACTATGAGGCCCAAGGATTCCTTTTTAAAGTATACACTGTGGAAAAGAATCAAAAATAGAGAAGCCATATTTTGTACCATCTACTGATGTAAAAATACATAAAATATTTGTCATGTTTAACAAAGATAGAATGGAAACTAAAGTTTACATTGTAATAATCAACAAAAAGCTTAACAGAAATGGATAACCTCAGAGGAACGTCCTCCGTTTGGTATTTACTAGCAGTCTGTGTACTGGCATATAGTATAGCAATAAAAGACATCATGACAACTTAGTAGTATTTTTTATTGCTGACAAGCTTGCGTAGCTTGAAAGTAAATAAATACACTGCAGCATATTTGGGTTTCTCAGCCTACCAAAGCTACATTCTAAGCACAAACGATTAAAATGTGTGAAAATTGATGCTGAATCAAAAAGTCAGAGGACCAAGAAAATCAAAATAATGAAGCTTTAACATAAACTAAAACTAGATTCACAATTTATTATTAACAATTTTTTTTAGATTTACATCCAAAGAAGGGATTTTGTTCCTTTATGCTATGCAGAGCAACTGCAATCCAGAAAGACCAATGAAATACAAGGAAAATCTCATATATCACAGCACAGCTATATCTAAACATACGGGAAGCACCAAGTTATTGCACAAAACCCAAACATATTTCCTCTTTGGAAATTGCTCTTATCAAATTATATTTGCTAATATCACATTCCAATTCCATGGATGACCATGAATCTAGACCTGTTGAGGATACATTCCTCAAAAGAAGAAACCAGAGGAACAAGATGAAGCATGCAACTGGCCAAGGGACTACTCTTTGGAAGATGGTATGAGATGCTACCACTGAAGTAGTGGAAGGAATGATCCAACTCACAGAAACAATTCTCAGTGCTTTAAAGGAAAGGAATTTTAAGGAAGGGAAATTTAAAGGAAGGGAAAATTATAGTGATGGTTCTGGTGAACTTCACACAGAAGCAGAAGAACTAGTAGCTAAATCAAATATGTATTATTTTTTGTGTGGAGTGCACCAAAAAAATGCCCTTTTCCCCCTCAACTCGCAGCACAAGTTGTCACATTTATGTTTAATGTTCATTAGATGTAAGTCTTTGTGCAACAGTCAGGATGAACTTCGCCACATCTTGTATTTTAGTGCATGGTTTTGGAGCAAATCTCATCATCATCCCCACTTACTTGGGTTTGCAGAGCAATTTCAGTGCATGCAAACTAGATTATTTTTGGAGTAAACAAACCAAAATCAAAGACACCAATCCCAGAGCACAGGTAATGTACTCCAACCCCTAACGGGGACATACTAGTCTGAACCAACAGGCAGCCCTTCAGACAAATTTGGGTCACGTGTGGAAGGGTTATTGTATCCAGAGGGCCAGAATAAGTCTGACCTCAGGTAAAATACCTGAATCACACCACAGTGTCATGTAAGAGCTTTAGCACCAAGTGCTTCTACCTACCAATCTATTCCTACTGCATCATCTTAATATAGATACAGCCTTTAGTCACTAAATCCAGCAACTCTAAATCAGGAATTATCGTGAGAACACCAGGCAGTATAAGAATAGAAAAAAGCTGTGTGTGATCCGACAGTATATACTACACATTTTAAGATCAGGCATTTAGAGTTTTGCTAGATGTAAGATCTAAATACAACGAAGGCTCTAATGAATTTTCAGAACCACACAACTTGCAGACTACCTAAATTAATCTGTGTTGCCAATCATCTGATGGAACCACTTTTTGCCAGTCAGTTTCCAACCACCTTCAGACAGCCAGGACAGACCAAGCATTCCTCAATGGACAGTCTGAAAGAATTTAAAAGTCAAAGGCTAACACTGTGTTTTCCAATGTCGCATCTTTGCTCAAGCGTACTGCCAAAGCATTGAATATCCTGCCGTATTTATTACTGGGGGAAAGCAGGACAGGCAGGTGAGAAAGTTCTGCCTGTGCAATGTAGCTTTACTCTTCATTAATCAAAACTTACTATGCATCAATTTGTTTACCCACATGCAAACACTGCTTTGGATTGTTCAGTAGCAAGTTTATTAATAGGGACAGACATTAAAGTGACCCACACAGGTTTATCAAAGTAAGAGAAGTAGATGATGATGATACCTGTTCCATCTTTTAGATGGCATCATAGATAAGAACAAAGATAATGCATCACGATGTCTCAAATTCAAGCAACGGTAGTTCCAGTTACACATACCAAAGGTTTGTATTTTGATTATTAACATTTATGATAATCCATGCATTTTCATAGAATGGTTTGGCTTGGAAGGGACCTTTAAAGATCATCTAGGCCAAACCCCACTCCACCTTCTTTATTCACCTTCGCTGTTTTTCTCTTCCAGGTTAACTAGTTAATGATTTATACATTAAAACAAAAGCAAAAACAAAACAATAAAAGAGACAATCAATAAAACCCTGAGAGCAACCAGAGCACGAAGGGAACATGTCCACATGGTACTACTGTGAAACATATACAGCATTAGCCTGGTTTTCCTCTTTGTTAGAATTCTTCTTTTAATCTCTATGAATGTTGAAACTAAGAGTGTTTACTAATATTAAATATTAAAACATATTTATTCCACATTGGTCCACAGCAGAAAAAACAATCAGCATCATCTAATTAATAAAAAAATCAGAAGGCCTAAGTCTGAATAGGGTAGCACAAATGGGAAGACAATCATATGAGTTACTATATCACCATCCTGGAAAACACATCAGCTAAACTTAGTAGTTTTTGTTAACGCTCACCTAAAAGTAAGAAAACCTTTTCTCTTTTGATATAACTGGATTAAATCATGCACTAATTTAGCCCGTGAAGACCAGGGAAAAGGAAGGGAGATGGGAGTACAAAAGAATTTTGTACGGGCTGATGGGTATTTTATTTCTAACTTGCACACAAAATAACAAGGTATCAAACCACTCCTAGACCAGCTCTTAGCATCTCTTAAAAGCCAACTGCTATTAAAACAAACATAACGATTAGCCTAAGATTTGAGGCAATAATACACTAAAAAGTTCATGACAGCTTGCCAAAAAAACTCATCATAAGTCTGTTTGACAGCAGGCTTGGAAATCCACCCTTCTTCAACTAAAATAAAAGGTTCTACCTGAGGAAAAATAATTCTTTTCCAATTGATGAATGAGTTTCACCAGTTCTATATTTAGAACAGTTGACACTGATTGGTGCGTAAAATTGCAAAGAAAAATGTGAAAAGAACCAAGCATGAAAAATTGCATGTCATTAGCCAGATTTTCCATTTTATATAAGGCACAAGTTTTCCTCTCTTTGAGAAAGGAATAGATTATACCTAAAACAACATCATGGACATACAACTAATGCCTTTCTTAATTGTTTTGTCTTTTAAAACCCTTTTGTTTTCTTTCCTTAAGAAAATGAAAGAACCTTTTCTCCGGGGAAGAGAGAATTTTTTTAATCTCCACATTGCACCGCCAAAAGGAGGCAAACATAGACTCTGCTTCAGGCGAAGAGGAAAATCTAAGGTGACCGATGAGCAGTCAAACTTTTTGTTTCCAATCTGTGGCACTCAAACATGGCATATAACACACAGCCCGGTGCCAGGCACTGTGTTATACTTCAAATGACACACACCTTCACAACTTTGCTGGTGCAAGGGGACTTCTCTGCCGGAGGAGAAAAAAAAATAATGTTCTGCTGCTTGAATTTTATTTTTTTTTTATTTTTTTAGCTTTTTCTCTTCTTTGACCAGGCAGCAAAGTTGGTCGGACCTTGTCCAGCTCCTGTGCAATAGATTAGTCACCACAGAATGGGGAACACGTTCTGTTAAAAGCCCCGGCAGGTTGCAGAACTCAATGATCGCAAAAGAAAACAGGTAATTGAAAAATTTAGAGCATCAATGAAGCAGTTCACTGGAAGCTTTAAATTACTTGATATTTATATTTTTTTCAGACTTCATACATTTTGTTTTCTGTCATGAAGCTTAGAGATCTGAAGATGCTAAATCCTCCGCAGTTTTCTTCCGTCAATCCATACTGTCAAACAGCTTGAGCAGCCTTTCACTATAAAAAGAACAATTGTCTTTCTACTCTGTCCAGAAATCTTCCTAATTTCTAGAATCCACATTGGATATTTCCATGGTAACACCACATGACCAATACTTTTTCCATGGTAACTGCAAAAACACAGCTTGCCTTTCCAACATCGCAGTCACTGCTGTCACAACAGAGCAAAGTCTCTAACCGGCATTTCCTCTCTCCTCTCAAATGTTAAATAAATTGTCAATTTAACTTCATTAGCCACTTTCACAGCACACTGCACAGAAGAATCCCACACAATTTCATATTTGAATGAGGGAAAGTTTACTACAGGTGTTAAACCTGTAGATTTACAACCCTATGACTAAGCACTGAAGAAGGCGCTGTCACGGGACAGTTTCGCCGCTCTCTTGTAACGCTGTGTTGTACAACCAGCGCTGGCCTGCTCCAGGTGACAAAACCATATATGCTTTTCAACAGGTACATCACAAGTACGGTTGTCTCAAACTGCGGCAAGGAAACCCTTAAATAACCTTACCACTGAAGCCAGGTCACCACAGAAGTTTGTGTTCCAAGGC